CTTGGTTTCAGTTTTACTCTCCAGTTAAGCGACCACAGCACCAACTTTCTGTCATCGAGGACGGCTCATGGGCTTCTCCTTGGTCACCCTTGACTGTCTCTAATCAGGCCTCACATATTTCTGTCAGTTGAATCTCCCTTGGCCCAGCCTTCTGCGGGTTCTCCCCCTGAATCCTCGGTGACCACGTGACTTGCCTTCCCCACTGAGGTCAGAGTCTTCTTTGGTGTGCCTGGTGCACACACTAGGCAGAGCCGTGCAGATCCATTTCATCGGAACACGCCTGAATCAGACTGGGACTCCCTCATCTCCCATTCTGTTATTGGATACTTTATTCCCTGGCTCCTGTTTAATTAATTACTTAATTAGTTATTTTGTTGTGTATTTATTGTATTTATGAGGATATACATTTGTGTATATATTCGTGGTATGTGTGAGGGTACATGTGTGGGAAAGGAGGATGTGTCTATGGTATATGTGAGGGTACATGTGTGTATGTGTGTGTATGTGCATGTATTTTCCTGGTGTGTGTGTGTGTGTGTGTGTGTGTGTGTGTCTGGGAACACTAGAGAACAACTGTACAACTTCTTAGATGCTATCAACTCATTTTTAAAATAATTAAAACCTTATTGTAAAGAACTTTCAAATAAAAAGCACTACTCAGTGAGATTAGCTAGATCCAAAGTTTATACATCTCAGTGTAGATCTCTTCTCTGTGGGCCTGGATCTCTCCAATGTAGACTAGCCTGCCTGGTGGGAGCCTCACATGTCTGCCTGTCTCCACATCCCCAGTAGGGGGTTATCCATGGAGGTCACTCATGGTTGTGAGCCACCGTGTGGGCACTGGGAATCCTACCCAGATCCTGCACAGGAGCAGCAAGTGCTCTTGACCATTGAGCCATCTCTCCAGCAGCTGGGCTACATCTTTGACTCCTGTGAACTGATTTAAATCCCCATCTTTCTCTTGCTCACTGCCTCTCTTGCAAGCTTATTTGCTGGCTACTCGCTAACCTATGGTGTATGCCTTCTCACTTCGGTATTAGGTTGAAAACTCTCCAGGGGAACCGCTGTCTATGTCTGACTCTCTCCATCCCCCGAGCAAGTGTTCTCCCTACACGTGCTTATGTGCTTGTGGCGTAGCTTGCTGTTGTCAGTTCACTGTTTTTAAAGTCAAAGGAGCAGGCTTGTGAACCTAGAATCCTTGCCTTCTGGCTATCAAGCATTACTGCCAGAGCTTTGCTACCTATAGCTACAGGTATGTTTCATAGAACTCTGGGCTTGTAGGATCTTGAGAAATCTACCCTGTGACTGTCTACAGTGTAGATTTGCTCAACCTTCAGGCTCTCATTCTGCAAGTTTGGGGGTGCTGCACTGGGAGGGGGTTATAGGGCTTGTTTTTCTTTCATACATTGCATTTGTCTTTGATGTAATTCTTCTTTTGTCCATCACTTCAGACAATATGATTCTAGAAGTCCACAGAACTCAAAAAGTTAATAGCCATATTGCTTAGGAGAGTTACTGGCCCGGCTACCTTCCTTTGTATGAACTGTATGCTGGCTTCTGCCACCGGGATTATTGGAGAAGGGATGGGTGGGAGACGGTTGAGGAAGAAGAGAGTTAGATGACTCTTCTTTCCTGCCTGAGAGTAGTACAAATGTCCTTATCACAAAGGTGACTCTTTCAGGAAAGCCCTGTTAGAATGACATAGTTGTAACAATTGAATATGAGACCTTATGTGGATGCTTAGCAGGAACGAGCTGGGAGGACGCTTGGGAAAGCTTTTAACTCTCCCCTCCACCACTGTGTTCTCGGATCCATAAGGCAACACCAGTGTGCATGCAGCCTGGGCTCCAGGAACTGTGTGTTTCCTGCTCTGCTCACAGGCAGATCGCCACCCAGTTATCCACTGGATCATTCCTGTGATGTTCCCTCTCTGAGGAAGGCATGGAGTAACGACTGGCATCCCTCAGGCTTTGTGTGAGTTAGTTTTTCTCACCACTGTGGCAAAAATACCAGACAAAAGCAACTTAAAGGTAAATAGATTCTTTGGTTTGGGTCCATTGTAAACGAGGCAGGCATGGTGCAGAAATCATGGCCACTCTGGCAGAGACCCCATAACAGGAGTTTGTCATGCCTTAAAAGGATGTGGGCAAAAGGACAAGGGAGCAGACAATTCAAGCTAGAGCCAGAAGTAGCTGCCACTTGCAAGACTAGACCCCTATGACTTACTCCGCTAGGGTGGCTGTGGTCTGGAAGACTTCACAAGCTCCCCAAACAGTGCCACCGTCTGGAGATGCTGTGTTCAAACACCAGCCTGTGGGAGACATTGCGCATTCAGACCAAACAGCAGGTGTGCACGGCCTGAGCTTTTACCCACTCTAGGGAGTCAGAGGAAATGAAAGAAAAGTTAATAACCTTAGTCTTGATAGTCTGATACTTTTCAGGAATGGTTGAGAGGCAAGACTCTTAATTTGACATACCAGTGCCAGTAGTGAGCTTTTAAAACTGCCAAAGCATTTATCTGTCAAGATTTTAATGATGGAGTTGATGGGAGAGTGCTCATGGTCATCATATAGTCACTTACACTGTTCAGGACAGTACTAGCCACTTCCAAAAACTTAGAGTGTCATGTCTTGCCCACTTATTAGTGAGATAGATGCCCTGAGAGTCTCCAGGGCATAGAAGAACACCCGGTTTCTTTTTAATGATGATTAATTTTGTTATTTGACAATTTCATAATGTATAAATGCGTTCTGACTACTTCCTCTTCCCGTCCTCTCTTATCTCTCCCACCGCTGTCACCCTTCCCCTATTCCACCAGCACGTGACTTGGTTTTGTGGCCCATGTAGATAAGCGGTACCACCATGTGACAGTTGAGCTGGTGGCATCCAGTTTCTGAACAGTTCAATGATATCTTCTTGAATCACAGCTCTAACTTTAGCTCCCATGAGTCATCTCTGCCACTGTTTAATAGCAACTTCCCCGCCCACCTCTTCTTTTTCTCTTGGTGTTCATATGTACGTGCTGCATGTGTGTGTATGTAGTTAATGTATGTGTGAATATATGTGTGCGAGTGTCTGAGTGTGTGTGTGTGAGAGAGAGAGAGAGAGCATGCATGTGGAGACCGAATGTTGAGTGTCTCTCTCTATTGCTTGCTCTCTCTCTTTCTGTTATTATTATTATTATTATTTATAGACAGAGTCTCTCTCTGAACTTGGAGCTTATCAATTAGGTTAGACATGTTGGTCAGCAAGCCCCAGGGATCCTCATGTCTCTACCGTCCCAGTGCTGGGATAGTAAGGGAGCATTTCCTTGTTCAGCCTTTTCATTTGGCTGCTGGGAATCTGCACTCAGATCCTCTTGTTTACATGTAGACACTTTACAGACTGGGTCCTCTTCTCATCCCCTGCAGCTCCCTGTATATAAAAAACAAATGGCCTAGGTATCCAGCGTCTATAGGAGTCATGTTCTGCCAATCAAAACAGCCGTGTTTTCTGACTATTTCTTGAGGTGTTCATCTTTTACAAGTTCTGGGAAGAGGAATGAGAAACAATACACATCCCCTGAAACAAGGCTAGCTGGTGGTGATCAGTGCTGTAGTAGGCTGCAGAAGGGGCTTTGCAGGCAACCCTGGGAAGTGTGGGAGTGTCATTGATGGTGTTGCTTCTAGTCCATCTTCACTTTGATGTCACCAGGGTGTCAACTACTTGGCTCTTGTGCTCCATAAATGCTAGGGTCCTAAGGTGAGAAGAAAATGGAGAGATTAGAGGACCCAGGTGACATACTGGTTCCAAGTAGAGCTTAGACTGCATTCAGGAAGGTCAGTGTGCACTCTGTCGGAGTAACCAGGGACACAGCAGGGCCACTTTAGTGAATTTCACACCCCTGCTGGCTGTCCTTCTCATTGCTGTGACAAATGTCTGAGACTGTAACAGCTTCAGGAAGGAAGGCTTGCCTGGGCTCACAGTTTGGGTTTCCCGTCCGCTTATGATGATGACTATGATGATGACGGCGTGGCAGCAGGAGCGTGAGGCAGCTGCTCTCACTGCACCCACAGTCAGGAAGGAGAGAGAGAGAGAGAGAGAGAGAGAGAGAGAGAGAGAGAGAGAGACAGAGAGACAGAGAGACAGAGACAGAGAGACAGAGACAGAGAGAAAGAGAGAGGGAGGGAGGGAGGGAGGGAGGGAGAGAGAGAGACAGAGAGAGACAGAGACAGAGAGAGAGAGACAGAGACAGAGAGAGAGAGAGGGAGGGAGGGAGGGAGAGAGAGAGAGAGAGAGAGAGAGAGAGAGAGAGAGAGAGAGAGAGAGAGGCCTGCTGGTGCTCGTTTGCCTTCTCTTCATTCAGTTCAAGGCCTCAGCCTGTGAGGTGGGACCTTTCACACTCAGGGATGGTCTTCCCTCCTCAGTTAAGTCTCTCTGGATACACCTCATAGACACAAGCTTGTGTTCCAAGTGGACTGTCAAGATGAGTCATCTCAGTGTCCATGTTCCTCTTTGTTCCATATAATCTAGAAACACATCAGATGTCTTTAACTGTCCTCATAGGTAGAAATGAATGTTAAAATGAATGTTTAAAATGAACATTAAGATGAAATGACAAATATTAAAAACAAAACCTTTGTGAGGAGTGGGAAGCCTGCCTAGCGTCTGGGAGGCCTGGGCTTCAATTCCCAGCACCACACACACACACAAGTTGCCCAAGTTGTTATTTACCCACCTCTCTAGTGGTGGGAAACCATCGCCCAGAAAGCAGATTAGAGAACCAACTTGAATTTCTTTATTGTCACTGAAATGGGCAAAGAACAGCAGCTTGGCTTGGGGACTGTAGTCTGATAGGCTTGAAGACAACCTATTGACCATACCTGACTGTGAATAGTCTACACTTAATCTTTTGCATGAGTACAACACTTTATTAACTGAAAAATGTGTTCGCTTGCATGCCATTTTAAAATCACAAAACTGCCTTCTGAGAGGGTATAATTTTCCATCCCATTTTGCAGATGTGGAAATGGAGGCCCAGAAAGATGCAGCCATCTACCTAAGCTGTAATAGGACCATCCATCCACTGAAACGCTGTAACGTATTGAGAACTTGTCTTTTCATCTTCCTCTCCTTTGTAGTTAGTGTGTTCTTTCACTGCGCACTCCATGTGAGTCTAAGGTAAAACCCTGAGGTGGTAGGGCTGGAGAGCCAGCTCAGCATAGTCTGCTCTTGTAGGGAACCCTAGTTCAGTTCCCAGCACACACAGTAGGGCTCACAATTGTGTCTTAATCCAGCTCAAGAGGATTCAACACCCTCTTCTGGCCTCCTTGGGCACTGTACTGATGGGTACCATTCACAGACACATATGCGTGCACATAATCTAAAGACGTGTATACCCCTCTCATACACGCTAGTAACTAAACTGTGGTGAGGTTGGGGCAGGGGGGACCAATACCAGACGCCTAGTTCTTGCTTTGAAAGCTCAGATGCTGGATAATTTCCTCTTCCAGGTCACACCTAGAGGGGTTTTGCCCCTCTATTCCATCTTAGTGGAGTTCAGACTGTGCAACCAGTCACTTTTTTCTCTTTTGCTTGTGGGGGCAGCGGCCTTTCTTCTGGGCACCATGGGATCTTGTTAATCCTACCGGTTGAGAACACCACCGCGATTTAAAGCCAAATTTGAAGCAAGCTTTAATTAAATACTGGCCAGGTGGATGGGCTCTGGCCAGGTCCATACCCAGTTTCCCAGGAAATTGGCCCCAAGTCACAGTTTGCAGGGACTTAAATATTTCCCATCAGGTCCAATCAGGGGCAAGCGTACATCCTGATGTAGTTCCTGCCCGCAAACCTCCTACCCACATATGATCAAGCACATCTGATGCAGATGGGTCAAACAAACTTGTTTAGGGGAATGAAAACATGTGGCTTATTATAGCCCATAAACAACAGCCTCCAGTATTTCAGGAACTATCTGTTCTTGGGCAAGGGGCTTGCAGATCAGAGGCATTTTTGTTTCATGAATCTCTTAGGCATAGTAATTAAAACCTAAAACGTGACTTAGGCTCTCACAGTCTGTCTTTTTGAGGCTATGTCACCATTCTCAGGAAGCACATGTTGCCATTTACGGAAGGCTGTGTGTGCTATGCTGGGCAATGTTGGGACAATCCTGGAATCCTAGAGCATGGGACAGGGAGGACCAAGAGTTCAAGTTGGTCAGCCTGAGTTACAGGAGCCCTGCCTCAAAATACCAAAACTGATAAACAAGTAAATAAAGGAAGACATATAACAGACAACTAGTTGCTGTCATTCTGCGACTCCCCTTTTCCTAGAGCTTCAGGTGCCTGGCACATCAGCAAACACAGGCATCTTTATATAAGAAGAGCAGGACTTCACCCCGTGAACCTAGAAGGTGGTTACTAACTCTGCGCGCCCTTCCTATGGCTGCTTAATTGTGAGTCTCCAAGTTAAGGTGGGAAGACAAGTAAAGGTGTTTCAGAGGCAGGGTAGGAGTAGGAGAGACACCCGGCATGTCATCAGATTGCTTGGATAGAAAACAAGATGGAGTCTGAGGGCTATCGCAACCTCCGTACAGTTGGGATAAAGGAGGGGCTGAGGAGAAGAAGGCTCAGTGGTTAAGAGCACTTGATGCCCTCAAGGACCTGAGTTCAGTTCCCAGCACCAAGTCCAGTGGCTCACAGCTGCCAGTAACTCTAGCTGCAGGGGGTCTCATGGCCTCTACTGGCCTCACTGGGTTGCACACACACACACATATAATAATAATAATAATAATAACAACAATAACAAATCCCTTTTTAAAAAGAATGACCTTGGCTAGCAGACAGTGCATGGCTTGCCATTTTAGCAACCTGATTGGTGCTCCCAATTTCCCAGAGATTGCTTTACAGAAGTGCTGTTATATTAAAAAAGGAGAAGTTGAGTCATACATGATATTTTATTTAATTTTAGCCAAAACATGAATTAAATGAGCTCTGGTGACAGTGGCTTCATTCTCTCCAATGCCACCAGCCCTCAGCAGTGTGAGTTTCCTGTGGTTTGAGTGAGCTGGAGGGGCCTCATGACCCTCCTTCCTGTGCAGATTTTCCGTTAAGGTCGGGCTTCATTAAGTAACGACTGGATTAATGGATTTATGTTAGAACTGGCAAAGTTTCCCTTGCCATATTTGTAAGTCTTGCATATTTGTAAGCCTTGCATATTTGTAAGTCTTCTGGAATAATCCTTTTTATGTGATCCTTAAAAATTGTCATCTTTACGTACTGAGCCTTGTATTAAGGAAGAAGTCACTGTAACAACAACACCAAGTTTGAAAATTTCAGAAATGGCCCTTCTTCAGGTAGGAATAGAGGCGGTGGCTAAGGGGATTAAAATGGCACAAAGGCGAGGGCAGTGGATTAAATTTTGGGGATATAAGTAACTCAGGTCATCAGGCTTGGAGACAACCACCTTGACCACTGAGCCATCTCACCAGCCTAAGAGACATTTTAGATGTTCATCTCTCTTGTGGACGGGAAGTGACTCACAGGGCTACACATATATTCAGAAGCTAGAGGCACTGATGACTGCTGGGAGTGATGATGTTTCTTTCTTCAGGGATGAGATTCCTGGTAGGTTGCTCAGGCTGCAGTACACGGCCCAACATCCACAGGCTTTCAGAGGATACTGTCTGTCTGTCTGTCCGTCTATCATATTAACTACCTGCCATCCTACCTGTCTTTCTCTGTCTGTCTTTCTGTGCATACATCCTTCAGTCTACCACATATTTATCCATCTCTATTATCTCTCTCTGTCTCATCTATCTATCTATCTATCTATCTATCTGTCTGTCTGTCTGTCGTCTATCTCTCTATCCATCATCTGTCTGTATCTATCTATCTATCTTATTACCTACATGTTATCCAACTGTCTTTCTTTATCTTTCTGTGTTTTTGTGCATCCATCCTTCAGTCTACCAATGCATTCATCCAATCCACCTCTATTATCTATCTATCTATCTATCTATCTATCTATCTATCTATCTATCTATCTATCTATCATCTATCTGAAAGAGGACATCCAGTGGAAAGGAGATGGGGAAAGTCCTAAGAAGAGTTGGAGAGTAAAAGGTGGTTTTGACCAAAACAAAACACATTCATGGAAAAGGAAAACAAACAACTAAATAGAAGCTCAGCTTCATCAGGAAATTCTCCAGTCTGCTCTTTCAAATACTTCTGCCTATGTCCTGCTGTGTCTGTGAGGACTAGCTAAGGAGCTCCACCCTTTCAAAAGATCACACCCGCAGAATTCACCCAGGGTTCCCTTCGAAGGAGAGTGTTCGCAGTGAAAATGAAAGGCCCTAAGGCCCTATGTTTATATTACCTGCCTCCTCCCCAAACAGGATTTGAGGTTGAGTCATGTAGGAAGATGCTTTGGGTTGGGCCTGACCACACCTGCACTCAGCTCTGGAGGTGCTGTACCGCGGCGCTTAGGGGAGGAGTGCTTGCAGGCAGCTGCCCGTTGCTCAGCTCTGACGTACTTTTGTACTTTTGTCTGTTCAGTTCACCACTCTGTAGAGACTGCAGCTCTCTCCTTCCCATCTGCATTTCAAATGCCATTGCTTTTAGTGTCATCTCTTTTAATTTATGTGCATGAGCGCTGTGTCTACATGCATGTAAGTGTACTACCATGTGCGTGGCGGGTGCTCAAGGAGGCCGGAAGCTGGTGTTGGATTCTGTGGGCATGGGGCTGCAGATGGTTGTTGCTGGGACTAGAATTTGGATTCTCTGAAAGAACAGCAAGTGCTCTTAACTGCTGAGCCATCTCTCTAGACCACCTTACTCTTACTTGTGTGTGTGTGTGGGTGTGTGTGTGTGGTGTGTACACATTTGGATGTACATATGTGTAAGGGTGGGAGTGCATGCACATATGTGTTCATTCCACTGCAGGCTAGGGAACAACTTCTGGTGTGTCTTACTTTAAAATGCTTCCCCCCAACCCCACCTTTTTTTTTTTTTTGAGATAGGCTCTTTTGTGTCCTGGAGATCTCCAAGTAAGGTAGACTGGCTAAGGAGTAAACACAGAAACACAGGGGCCCTTCTCTGTCAGTCTTTCCAGCCCTGGGAACAAGCCCACACCACCATGTCCAGCATCTTTACATAGGTTCTGGGGGTCGAATTCAGGCCCTTATGCTTGCAGAGCAAGAATGTGACCAACCGAGCAATTGCCCCACCCCAACCCCAAGACTGTGTCCTTTGCTGAACTGTATTTCATTTCCAGCCCTGCTGTACATCTAAATTCTGAGAAGTTTTAAAGTAATCCCTCTGCCTGAGTCAACCCCTGAGTTCTGGCTCACTGACCTGAGCAGGGCCTTGGCTTCATCTCAATCTTTAAAAGAAATCCCTAGATGCTTCTGATGTGGAAGCCAGGATTGAAAACACTGATTCAGCCAAACCCAGTGAGAGTACAAATAAGTATGTGTCCAGGAACGGCAAGGTATTTAGGCAGTGCCCCACAGTAGAGAAATACCCTTTCATGGGTTCAGCAACTAGCAACTCCCTTTCATTGGCATTCTAACAAAGATGAGAGAGACTTCAGAGCAGAGCTGTGCAAGAATGAAGATTCTTTTATTTTGAAGTCGGCCACAGAACGGCGGCTTCCTCGGAGACGGGGTGTAGTTTGGTCGTCTAGTGTGAAGCCTGGGTTCTGTCCCTAGTAAGGCATGAACTGGGTGGGAAAGCAAAAGCTGGTGACCTCTGCTTTCTGGAGGGTGAGGATTCCAGGGTCAGAAGGTCATCTTTAGCTGTGCTGTGAACCGGAGGCCAAGATCTCCTGCGGTTGATGCCTACCTGGGCGATGCTGGGGAGTCAGAGTGGGGGCGGAGTCTCTCACTGAACCTGGAGCCTGCTGGTTCTATTAGGTGCTAGCCCCTGAGAGCCTCCTGTCTGCCTCCCGGTGCTGGGATTACAGGCATGAATTTTCCACTGCTCTTATTTAATTGGTGGGTGCTAGGGACCCAAGTCTTGACCATCATGGTTGCATGATAAGCGCTTATTGACTGAGCCATCTCTCCTCTCCAGACCCTTAAACATTGTTTGAAAAC